TTCTCAAAACATTTGCTCTCCACTTAAGCCCCAGGCATCATGTCCTCTTTTTTTTCCCCTTCCCTCCCCGCCCCCCTCTCCTAGTGTTGCTTTTTAAATGGACTCCTTTTCCCTTGATTTCTTTTTAAATCTTCCTCTTACATTTTTCAGATATCACTATAGGTCTTATTCTGATAGATTTAAGTTTCTCTAGTCTCCTCTTTCTTATCTCTAGTGATAGCTAAGCAACTTGGCAACCTAACAAGGAATCTGGACATTTGAGAAGGGTGTCAAAGGAAAGGCCACTCAATAGATAGATACTATGGCAGAAGAAGTGGTTTGTGTGTTCGTTTTTAATAGTATTCTCTCTGGTAACAATGTCAATAAGACAACTCAATTTATTTCTTGATGCTGAACATCTATTAAAAAGATAAGCAAAGAGAATATTTATTAAGTAGGACCAACAGAAAATATAACTTTTATGTGTTTACTTGCAGTTTGTTTAACCTCTTATTGTTAGCCTTTTTCCCCTTAACTGATTAACTTATTCACTAGTTCTACAAGATTTAGGGTAAAAGCAACCTGAAAAGGGTCATGGGTCACTAACGTTTGCTAGTGCTATCAGTGGAAGAAAAACATCAGTCGGGTTTTGTCTCTCCTATAGATTCCCAACAGGAGCCAGGTGGCAGAGTGGCTAGGACATGAGCTGCTACACACAAGGCCTGCAGTTTGAAACCACCAGCCACTCTGGAAGAAAGGTGGAGTTTTCTACTCCCGTAAACAGTTAGTCTTGGAAACTCACAGGGGCAGTTCTACCCTGCCCTAGGGGATCACTATGAGTTGGCAACTCTATGGCAGTGGAAAGTGAAAAAGATTTCCAAAATTATTTAGCCTACCACCACGCTCTTCAGGAAAAAAAAATTACTCCCTGGCAATTGAAAATTGTTGTACGATAGCCCATCATCCAAGATAAAGTGTAGGTATCTGCTTCTGCAGCCCCCATAATTAATCTAGCACCTCCTGGAGGTGGCACCGCCTACTCTGGGAAACTGGTCTAGCCTATGAGCTAGGCCGAAAGAGAAAGGCTGACAGACTGCTGAGGACATAGTTACCCAACTTCTCAATCACAAGACACAGGTACAGAAGATCGGCTGTGGCAAGGTACACAGAACCCTAGAACTGAAGTCAAATTTGTTTATGTTTCATGTCTGAGCTCTCACCACAGGGGAGTAGTGAGTATTGGACTAGATCTTATGCCATAAACTAGAGAACTGGGAGGGGGAGGTGGGAATGAGCGAGAAAGAGGGGCGGCTATTTTAAGGCAAAGGATGACAGCCTGGGCAAGACTTAGATCCTAAGAAGTAGGCTGCACAGCCACCTGGTTCTCTGCCGGGAGTTTCCGGACCACGTCACAGAGAGCCGGGCGGTGAACACAGGAGGCAGGGGTTGAGGTTTCTGAGTGGCTGGACTCTTCAGAGCAGCACCCTGGAGACAGAAAGCTGCGTAGTTAGGGCCCACAGTCCATGTGGGTGTTCGCCATGGGTTTGTACTGAGGGCTTGGCTCTAACAGGCACAGGGTGAGACCATTTTGAAGTTGACCAAATAGCAGCTGCAACAGGGTTGGGAAAATCACTGATACACTAGAGGTAAATTGTAGGAGGGGGAGGAATTCTGCTTTGCCTGAGTGGATAGATGACACTAACACTAGCCAA